TTAGAGTTTGTGCTTGGTGGATTGACTCAGCTTGTAACTGCTACTTCTGATGGCATTTCAAGTCCCCAGAATTAGGGCAGACTGATTTCCCTGTCTGTTCCCCACAGCTGTGGGGAACTGAACTCTGGCATGCTCAGGTATTTAAAGCTGGGCAGGAATGCTCCAGCTGTTCCCAAAGCACAGCTGGAAATGCCCAGCTTTAGACTTCTCCAGGATCAGAACAGCATAGCTCTGCTGCTGCTCGGGTTGATTCCTGGTTCCCTGGGACTGGACTGAATTTTGCTGAGGGTGATTCCCCTCGTTTGGCCCAGTGTGTTGCACACTGCTTGTGTGCTCTGGAGCAGCTCACTGCTGGGACAGTGACTGACACAGCCCAGGGAGCTGGGGCTGGTGTCACTGCCGTGGTTCCAGCCCATCCAGAGCTCCTGGGATCCATCCTTCGGGGCCTGAGCCTGAGGGGGCTCGTTCTGCTCTGTTCTGTGTGCAGGCAGCTGTGGGAGATGGAGCTGGACAAGCTGAAGAACCAGCACAATGAAATCAACAGGAACATTCTTGAGGAGACAGAGCGGGCCTGGAAAGCCGAGGTGGGCAGGGATTCCTTCCCTGCAGACTGGTTGGTTTGAGGCTCCAGCTGGGTAATGGGCAGTGCTGTGAAATCAGGAGCAAGGCCAAGTGCCACTCTGTGGGATGAGAGGGAAGATGAGCACGTGTCAGGGCAGGGAGCCCTGCCCAGTGCCTGGTGTGGCACAAGAAATGGGAGTACAGAAACTGAGCCTCTCTCCTTAGATCCTGTCCCTGGAGAGCCGGAAGGAGCTGCTGGTGCTGAAACTAGAAGAAGCAGAAAAAGAAGCAGAGCTACACCTCACCTACCTCAAGTAAGTCTGTGTCGTGTCAGAAGTGGCAGGGGGGGTCACTCAGGTGTCCCCGTGTCCCATCTCCTCTTCCTGTGCTTATGCTGGAGGTTGGACTGGAATAGTTGAGGATTTCCTGTGGTTCTCTTACTGGATCAGTGTGACTCCATAATGCCCCACAGCAAGGGGATTATCCCCTGCCACTGTTCATCTGCCAGGCTCAGCCAGTGCTGTTGGCTGTGGTGTCCCTGTGTGTCCCCCAGCTCAGTCCCTCTCCCTTGTGGGGTGCCTCACCTGGGGGTGAGCCTTTCCCACCCCATAAAGGTGAGGAGGGGAAGCCAGGAGGGTGTGGGGGTTGCTCGTTGCCACTTTGCAGCCAGTGAGAGCACAGTTGCAAGTGGGAAAGTTCAGCTGTGCTTGCAGGTCTGCGCCGCCCACGCTGGAGACCATGAGGCCAAAGCAGGAGTGGGAGATGAGGCTCAACAGGATACGTATGACCAAGCAAAGCGTCCGAGTAAGTTCCTGCTGACCTCTGCCAGCCTAGCAGTGAGCAGTTCTTCACAAACACACACACACAGTGTTTCTCCCTTCAGCTCCTCTCCATTCTTCTGTGGAGCCAAACTGTGCCACTTTAGGGCCTGCCACCCCCTGGCTTAGAACGCCCCAAACTTGCTCAGGTTTGATAAATGCACCCATTTTCTTCCCTCTGTGCTAGGATCAGTTCAACGACCACATCCAGATGGTGAGGAATGGCACGAAGCTGAGCAGCCTGCCCCAGATCCCCACGCCCACGCTGCCTCCTCCGCCTTCAGAGGTGAGTGCCTCTCCAGCCCCACAGCACGGCCGTGCCAGGCCCTGGCACAGCCTGCCTGCTGCTGGCCATGTGTGGGATGGCCTGTCTGGGCTTACCAGAGAGCAGGGGAAGGGTCTCCTTCCCTTTGCAGCTGCCAGTGCCTGCAGCTCCCACCCTGCTGCCTGGAGGAGAGGCCGCTCGGCCCTGCTTCCAGGTGCTCTTACTCTAACCAGCCTTTCCCTCCCGGCCTGCTTTTCTTCCTCAGACAGATTTCATGCTGACGGCATTCCAGCCCAACCCACCCCTGACGCCCCGGCTCCCCTTCCCCATCGGGCCCGTGCCCGTGCCCATGGTGATGCCCAGCGCCGACCCGCGGGCGCTCTCCTTCCCTCTGCTGAACCCCGCCATGTCCCGGCCCAACCAGCCCTCCCCGCCCCTGCCCGCCTCCCAGGGCAGGAGCAGCCCCGTGGTGGCATCTCTCCTTGGCACGCACGGCCCCCACGTGCCCCCCAGTGCCTCCATCCCCCCTCCTCCTGGCCTGGGCGGTGTCGGCGTGGCCCCCGACTTCCACCGGCCCCAGCCGGCCGACAAGCTGGAGAAGCTGCTGGAGAAGCTGCTCACTCGCTTTCCACAGTGCAACAAGTGAGGCTCTGCTGGTTTTTGGGGGGGCAGGGGGTTGTGAGGGCAGTGGGAGCTGGGGTCGGGGGAAGGGGGGCTGCTGGTGTCAGTGGGGTCTGCGGGAAGGGAGGCAGGCAGAGGTGGTGGTCTGTTATATTCCTTTTTCTTGGTCTCATAAGCTCTCAGAAAACATATAACATACCCAAGGATAGCTCAGCTATTATTTTGGGGGCATAAAATAAGCAGGATGGCTTCTGCTGCAGTGTTAGAAACAAAAAGGTTTATTAAAAGGCAAAATAACAAACAGAAAAACCCGAGCCAGGTGCAGAGGTAAAAACACCTCACAAAAGCACTTAGCTCTTTTGTTCTTTTCTTTTTCTACCTAATGGTTCAAGCTAGACTTTTTGGCTCTATCCAATTAGCTATCCTCAAGTTTTTGGTGAAGTCCCTAAGATCATATGAGGTGGCTTTTCACATAATCGTTGAGAAAGACTTGTGGGCTTCTTTCCTTTTTTGGGGGACAAAGGATAGTTTTGCCACTCTGTCATTGAGGAGCACACTCTACAGTGTTCTCCGTCAGGTTTGCCCTGGTGCTGGGGATCACTTTGCAGGACAGCAGGGCTATCTGGGCACTGCCAGCCTGTCCCTGGGGGTTCCCTGCCCTGTCCCCGGCGTTTTGGGGAGGGAAGCTCCTCAGCACGTGCCTCACCTCACCTGGAGGATGGAGGGGAAGCACAGGGCCCGTGTGTGAGGAGCAGGAGCTCTTAGCAGGCTGCTGTGCACGCAGGGCCCAGCTGACCAACATCCTGCAGCAGATCAAGACTGCCCGCAGGACCATGGCCGGCCTGACCATGGAGGAGCTGAACCAGCTGGTGGCTGCCAAGCTGGCGGAGCAGCAGGAGCGGGCAGCGGCTGGAGCTCAGGTGGGGCAGCCTGGGGGCTGCTGGAGGGGGGCCTGGCGAGCAGGGAGAGCTGCCCCTGCTGCCTGGCTCCCCACAGAGCTCGGGCTGTGCCTCAGGGCTGTCCCCTGGGCTCGCTGTCCTGCTGACTGCGGCGTGGCCAGGGCTGTCCCTGGGGTGGCTCCTCTGTGCTCTCCTCCCGGGCTGTTCTGACGTGCCTCCTCTGCCTTGCTGCAGCCTCTGGGCCGGATCAGGGCGCCCATGTTCTCTGCTCCCCTGCCTCAGATCAGCACACCCATGTTCCTGCCCCCGGCACAGGTCGCCTACCCGGGAGCAGCGTCACACGTAAGGCTGCTTGGATTCCCTGGGGACTGGGGAGGGGAGCCTGTCTGGGAGGTCCTGAAAGGGTCAAGGATGAGCCCCTGCAGCTGGGAGCTCTCCTCGCACGGCTGCCTGGGCTGCTGAGGTGATGGGGAGGAGTGGGGGCACAGATCCTTTGTGTTTCACGCTGGAACAGGGGGACACGAGTGATGGTGGCTGTGGGCAGAGGGGGCTGTGGCCTCAGGCTGCAGCTGGATCTGTGGTCAGAGCCGTGTGTCTGACTTGCCTGCCTGCTCCTTTCTTTCCCTCGCTGCCCCTGCCAGGCCCCAGCTGCCTGTAAGCTGTGTCTGATGTGCCAGAAGCTCGTGCAGCCCGGTGACCTTCACCCCATGGCCTGCTCACACGTGCTGCACAAGGAGGTGAGTGTGTTCTGCTGCTCAGGGCCTCCTCCTGCTCCTTCCAGGCGACCCTTCCCGAGTCCTTGTTGTCCTGACACCTTGCCAGGAGAAGGGTGTGATCAATAAACAGCTTCCCTGCATCCTGTCATCCCATCCTTTACCCCTGCATGGCCAGCGGGGGGTGGCTTTAGGAACGGGCTGCCCTTGTGTCCCTGAGCCTGTGCTGTGTCTGAGGGGTGGATGCTGGAGCAAGACAGTCTGGGAGGATCTGGAACACAGGGTGAGGGGAGAGCTGCCACTGCTGCCCAGTGTCTGGGCTGGGGATGCCAGACAGGAGCTCTTGGGACAGGAAAGTCTGCTCCTCTTGCCATGGGTTTGGCAGTGGGTCACCTGTGCTGGCAGCCCCCATCCCAACAGCTCTGGGCTCTCCAGAAGTGGCCCAAGGAAATGGAAACTGTTGAGGAGGGCCTGATGGTCCTGCAGGGGTGACAAGGGCTCCTTCCTCACGGTGACATTGTGGTGGAGGCTGCAAGGAGCAAAGGAAGCCACCCCTGAAGCGAGTGCTGGGGACAATGCTGGCACCTTTGGGCTGGGCCAGTGGCTCTTGATTAATTCTCTCTCTTCCAGTGCATCAAGTTCTGGGCACAAACCAACACGAATGACACTTGCCCCTTTTGCCCAAGCCTCAAATGACGGCTGCTGGGACAGCGTGGGCCCCTGGGAGGAGTTGCTGTGAATAGACAGGATCAGTTCTAAGATTTCTACAGTTCTATATTTATACGATCATGTATACACATGTACATTTTTATTATATAGGTAATGTGTGTATAGAAAGTCTGTAAACATACAAATTCATAAATAAAGTGTGTATATTATGCAGTGATTTGCTGCAGCTCCTCATTCCTTAGTCTGTAGCCTTGCTGGCTTCTCCCAAATGAGGGTCAGCGTTCCCTGCTTGCTGGGAACTGCCTCAGCCACCTCACACTTCCCACTTGGATCCCATCAGCTCCGTTCCTGGGGCCATTCCCCATCACCTGCTGCCTCACCACCCCCACATCCCTGCCAGCCATCACCTGTTTTTCCCCTCCTCTTGCCAACCAACAAGTTGCGGACGAAGAGCCAATTTTTTGTGGTCATTTATTTTAATGTCATAATAATTTACCGTGTTAACATTCATTGTTCTTACATAGACACTGGGTTACAGAGTACTGCAGCCTCCAGCGACAGCCCACGGTCCTGTCCCCTCCTGTCCCAGGGCCCGGGGAGGGAGCGCAGGGACAAACCTGTCACACAACTCCTGCCTTCCCCTCTGCTGTCCTTCCTCCCAAAGCACGGGCTGACTCACCAACCCTTTCTCCGTGGATCTCGGTGGGATTGCGAGGTGCTCAGCACCGCTGACAATCTTGCAATGACTCTCTAAAAATCCCCCCCCGTTTCCTGGCGGGCTGTGGCAGGGACTGGGCACGGCTGGCAGCCCCTCTGCCCCGCAGGGAGGGCAGGGGAGCCCCCGGTGCTCGCCCACCACAGGGGTGTGTTTTAAGGCAGTGGTCCACAACAGAGTCTCTGGGGTCCTGGGGGTCCTGGGCAGGCACGAGGGTGGGGGGAGAACGTTGTCCTCTTGCAGGGAGTGGGGTTTGGAGCGAGGCTGGGGGGCTCAGTGTGAGCAGGGGCAGTGTGGGGGCTGTTGTGGCTGTGCCCCGTGCAGGGCTGGCTGGTCTCACACTCTGCCTGTGTTTCCTGGCTCCCTCGCTGCCTTCCCAGAGAAACGTTTGGCTGCGGGATTTGATTACCAAGCTCTATGCTCGGTGATTGCTGTGGGTGCTCAGTCTGTCCCTGCCTGACCCCGTGGCTCTGCCAGGGTCAGCTCGGCCCTGGCACTGCAGCTATCCCCTCTTTGTTCATGGAGGAGTGATGCCTTTCATTGTGCAATCTCAGTCTGAGCTCTCCTATGCAGGCTGGAGGCAGAGAAGCAAGGGAATACAGCACTAGCACTGCCTGCAGGGTCACGGGTGTCTGCTCGGGGCAGGGGACGGTGATCCTGCAGCACGGGGAGGAGGGGTTGTCCTCACACACTGGAAAATCCTCTCTGAGGACAGAGGTGCCTGCTGTGCTCAGCGTCCTTTGGGCTTGTGAGCCACTGCTCTGCGTGCTCCAGCCCTGCACCCCCTCCTCAAGCCAGCTGGGACCCCCTCACCATCACATGCTCCCACCACACACGTGGCTCAGCGTGAGCCCTGCAGTGGCTGAGGACTGAGCAGAAGGCTAAAAAGATTTAAAAAAAAACCCCAAAACAAAACAGGACTGACCCCTAACGTTGGAACAGTGGCTTTCAGGGCTAGAAGTAAAAATAGAGATATATGGATAGACTGTACAGGGGAGAGGCAGCCGTGCTCTGTACACGTGGGACCGGCTCTGTACACGCTCAACGCGCAGCTGCGCTACCAGTGACACGCTTTGTAAAAAAAAAAACCAAAATAAATACAACCATGTGTTTACAAAACAAGAAACGCTGCAGTTCCCGCAGCTGCCGCCTGTCCCTGGCGTGCCAGGGTGTCTCACAGCCAGGCCTGGCCGTGTGGAGTGAGCAGGGAGGAGCTGCTGTGCCGGCGCTGAGCTGGGGGGCTGCAGGGGGGGCCCAGGCTCCCCTATGGCTTTTGAAGGGCTGGGTGGGCTGGGGAGCAGCCGGTGCCAGGGCTGGGAAATTCACACCTGGCACTGGCTTCTGCATGGCAGCCCCTGCTGATGCTGCAAGCCGGGGCAGGGAGTTTCCCATCCCATGTGATGTGGGGAGAGGATGGTGCCTGCTCCTGCCCGTCCCGGGAGAGGATGGTGCCTGCTCCTGCCTGTCCCGGGAGAGGATGGGTGCCTGCTCCTGCCTGCCCCCGGAGAGGATGGGTGCCTGCTCCTGCCTGCCCCAGGAGGGTGCAGTGAGTCCTGGGGCCGGCAGCAGCGGCAGCACAGCTCAGGAAGGCAGGAAAATGCAAGGGAAATGTGAGAGTGAGCGGTGTAGGGGCAGCAGGGTAGGAGGGAAAGCCCTGTCTGGGCAGCCCAGGCTGGCCCTGCAGGGCTGTCTCTGAAAAGCCCGAGGCTGGGTGGCTCCAGGATGATCCCTGGAGCCTGGCTCAGTGCAGGGAGTCACAGGGGAGGCACAGCTGCAGCACAGCTCCCTACAGGAGAGCCTGGGCTGGCAGCTTCCCGGCGGGGCGAGCTGGAAAGGGATGCACAGGGATGGAGGGGGACAGGCAGGGGATGGCTCGTCAGCGTCACTCCATCAAGCCAGGCAAGGCTGGGTGGGAGAGCTTGGTCCTGTCCTGGTGCTGGAGCAGAGCAGCTGCCTCCAGCTCCCAGGATGGGGCTGCTGAGCTCTCCCACTGCCCGCTGCCACGCTGCTGCTGCAGTCCCAGATGAAAGCAGCCCGGGCCTGGGGCTGGCCCTGATGGACACCGAGCCCCCCACACTGCTCCAGCCCCCGCAGCAAGGCCCCTGCCCTGCTGCCTCACCTGCGCCCCGCCGTCACTTCAGCAAGGAGATGTCGTCAGCGAAGTCGTCGTGGTCGCGCCGCAGGCAGCGGAAGCAGCGCCACTGGAACACCATGAGGCACAGGGGCAGCATGAAGAGGGCGCAGATGGCCGCCATGACGTAGGCGATGGTCATCAGCGTGGACTCGTCCGTCTGCGGGATGTTGTAGCCGCAGTCCTCCATGTTGGGGTGCAGGTGGGGCCCGTCCACCGCGGCCGTGCGGAACTCGTCGTGCACTGGGGGAGGGGGAGGCAGGGGCTGGTCTCTGCACAGCCATGTCCCCTCCATCCCATCAATCTCATCCCATCCCCTCCATCCCATCCCCTCCATCCCATCCCATCCATCCCATCCCATCCCATCCCATCCCATCCCATCCCATCCCATCCCACCCCATCCCTCCCCTGGGCCCAGCTCACCGTGGCAGGCGCTGACGGCGAAGCCGATGCGCTTGCGGGCGCGGTCGAACACCACGTAGAATCCCTCCATGATCACGGCGCCCATGACGGTGCCGGTGGAGGACTGGGAGATGGCAAACTTGTAGCAGTCGTCCTGAGAGGTGGCCACGTCCTCCACCGGGCGCAGGTATTGCTGCAGGGGGACGGGAGCACTCAGGGAAGGGGGCACGGGAGGCAGATGTGTGCTCCCAGCGTGGTCCTGCCGCGCTGCCCTCTCCAGCCCAGGCTCCCTGGGCAGGTCTGGCCAGGCCAGCACTCACCTGGGGCAGGATGGTGATCCGGAAGGACTGGTTGGTGGCCTCCCCCATCAGGTAGAGGGAGAGGACAGGGAAGATGTGCCAGGGGGTGGTGCCGACCTGCCAGCAAACCAGCTGCTCCCCCAGCCAGAAGCCGTCTGGGAACTTCTCCGTCTACCAGAGGGAAAGGGAAGGTGAGCGGGGCCAAGCTGAGCAGGCAGCACAGATGCCAGGCTGGTGAGGGGCAGCACAGCCCTGCCCGTGGGGAAGGGATGGGCTCCACTGACCGAAGATGCCGTTTTGATGGATTTCACTGCAGCCTCAAACACCTTCTTCGGCAGCCTGAGGTTGGTGGTCCCGCTGTCCACAATGCTCTTGTCGTAGTTGTACTGGGGGGCAGAAGAGGAGGAGTGAGCCAGGTGCAGGACCCCAGCCCACTCCCCTCGAGCCTCCTCTGAGCAGTGCTGGCTGTCTCCAGTGCCCAGCACTGCTCACCTCCTTGCAGTCCATGTTCAGGTCCTGCCCGTTGACCTCCAGCTTGACGATGATGACCTCGTAGTACCACTCCTTGCGGATGGGGGTGTACCAGATGTCACCCACGTACAGCGAGCGGTCGATGCCACCGATGATCTGCACGGCACACACAGCGGCGCTGCCACCACGCGCTGGCAGTGCCACCAAGGAACCCCCCAGCCACCTGAGGAGGGCTCACCATGCTGCCTCCCACCGAGGCCACGGCCTCTGTGTCGTTGGGAGAGAAGCCTGTCCCGCAGAGCTGCAGGGAGAAGATGTTGGGCACCCGTGTCTGCTTCACCAGGGAGTCAAAGAAGGGCTCCAGGCTGTCGTCGGGCTGGTGGGAGGAGAAAGCACAGGCAGGACAGGGATGTGTCAATGCTGCCCCTTCTCCAGGAGCTCTCTGCACCCAGGAGAGCTCCCCTCAACAGCAGTGCTGAGGACTGAGCAGAAGGCTAAAAAGATTTAAAACACCCCAAAACAAAACAGGACTGACCCCTAACGTTGGAACAGTGGCTTTCAGGGCTAGAAGTAAAAATAGAGATATATGGATAGACTGCACAGGGGAGAGGCAGGGACAAACAGGGACAAGGAGAAAGGCAACTGAAGCGTTTTGGTGCTGACATCCAGGACTGTCAGCCAGCACTCACCCGGGCAATCTCGGCATACGCCAGACCCAGGATCCCCTCCCAGTTGGAGCCGTTGATGAAGAACTTGTCTGACTCCGTGATGGCAGCGATGTTGGCTCTGACAGTGACGTTGGGGCCGTGGGGGATGGTGACAAGGTCAGTGCCCAGCTCCCCTTCCCACTTGCCCTGGGTGTAGGGCACGTACACTCCCTTCCGCAGGTCGCGGTAGGTGCTGGACCTGCAAGGGCAGCAAAGAGTGAGACCTGCAGGGTTTATGTGCATCCAGCCATTCCAGAGGCCAGGAGGTACCTGGCAGGGTCTGGCCAGACCTCCACAAGGAGAAGCAGTGTGTCCGAGAGGCTGTGCCCTGTGTGCCCCCAGAATACTCACAGCTGCCGCTGGTAGTATCTCCGGAGGAAGGGGTGTGGTGCAGCTCCCACAGCGAAGTTACTGCTCCCTGTGTCCACCAGGATATTCAGCTGGGGGAGGAAGAAAGACAGGAAGGCTCAAGAGTGCACTGGGACCCCCTTTTGTTGTGCCCAGAGAGGAGAGAGGAGGTGGTGCAGCAGGAGGCAGCGACATCAGGGAGCTGCACAAAGAGCAAACACCACCCAGCACTGTGCAAACAGAGCGTGAGCCTGCCTCAGGGCCAGCCTCAGCCCCCAAATCCACAGGCAGGATTCAGGAACCACCTGGCAGGTGTCCTGGGGCCGGAGAGCAGCAGCAGCAGCAACACAGGGTGCACAGGAAAGCAGATTTGCTGGCACAGCCCGTGGGAAGGAAGGCTGGTGGTCCCTGTGCCCGCTAATCGCCACCCATATGCCGAGCCCTGCTCCCCACTCACTCCTGCCTGGGCAGGATTACCACGGCTGGCAAACATCCCTCTGGCAGGGCAGGAGTGAGCCAGCCTGATCCTGCCCTCAGCTGACCCGTGCCTGTGGCCCCTGCGAGGAGAGGGGTGGGATACCCTGGGTGGGATAGCCCGGGTGGGATAACCCGGGTGGGATAGCCTGGGGGGGAGCAGGGCTGTCTGAGCCCCCTGGCTGTGCTGGGCAGCAGAGCTCGGGGTAAGCCCTGGCCCCAGCCCCAGGAGCTGCTTCAGCAGCACCCCGGGCAGCAGCAGCAGGGCTTTGGCCCCTAATCTGTGGAGTCAGAGCAGAGGAAGGAGGTTAATGCGCTTGTGTTAATCGCAGCAGCACCGGCTGCAGCTGCTGAGAGCTCTCCCTGACAGGGCTGGCATGTCCTGAGTGCCCCTCCCTGCCACAGGGAATGTTTTAGACTGTGGGTGAAGATCAGAGCAGCACGTTCACCCACCCTGTGCCCACCCTGGGCGGGTGCCAGCTCAGCACCCACCACACAGCCTGGCAACCCGGCACCTGCTCCTGGTGCTGTGCCATTAGGGGCCACCTGCTCCACACAGCTCATCTGCAATCCCCAGGCACCCAGAGGAGCCTGGTTTCCCTGGAGAAGGAGCTGCTGAGCTGACGCTGCAGGGAGAGGAGGCAGGGAGGGCTTTTACTCTCACAGGCACCATCCTGAAGGGGTCACGCACAGGACCCACGTGGAGAGGACCCAGATCCCTGAGACTCAGCCCAGCCACCAATTCAGGCCAGGACAGGGCACGTGAACTGGGGAGGCCAAGGCATGTGTGGCAGGGACACTGCCTGAAACCTGTCCCTGGAAGTGACAGCCCCTCCAGGCACCTCAGCAGCAGCACTGGCTCTGTGCCACGCGTGCCCCTCGAGCTGTGTGCTGCTCCTGGGGCACCAAGCCTGTGCCATCTGTCCCAAAACACCAGCTCCTGCTGCCCAGCTCACCCCTCTCCCCTGTGTGTTTGTGAACCAGCCCGTTCTGGGGAGCCAGGGAACCCAACAAGCTTGGACACACGGAATGTGTGAGCAATCAGCTGCTGACGGTGACTTGGCAGCGCAGCACGGCTCAGAACCAAAATTAAAGCACAAGGGGGATGCAGAAACTCCCTTGTCAGCATGGGGAAGGTGAAAGGAAAGGTGAGGAGATGGATCACCATCTCCCTGCTGCGTGAGAGCCTTTGGGAAGGATGCACCCACCCCGGGGCAAACAAGCTCCCAATTTCCTAATTTCCTGCAGAGGCACAGCCCAACTCTTTCATTGGAATTCTCTCATTCCATTGCAATGCCTGGAGGGATTTTGCTCCAGCACACACACACACACACACACACACACACAGGCACCACGTTTGCATTTGGAAGCAATCCAAGGCTGGAAGATGCTGCCCAAAGCGTGCCTGGAACAGGTGGTTCGCACGGAAATTATCTGGCAGCTGCGACACGTGGCAGGCAGGAGATGATGAAATCACGTTTAAAAGCAGACTTCAGAAATAATCCCCTCCCTTTTTTTCCTCCTAAACACACCCTGCCAGGCAATACATGCCAGGCACACAGGGACAACACAATGGTGCTCCCAGAGATGCAATTTCCAAGGCAGTTCCTCCGTCCACTTCTTGCTCCCATGGCTCTCTCCCACCACGCACACAGAGCACAGCCAGCTCGTGGGGAAAGCCAGCCTTTATTTCAGAGCCTGCGTGGGTGCTGGCTGTGCTGGCAGCACCCAAAAAGTGGTGATGGCAGGCACGAGGGAACGTGGCCCTGTGCTTGGGGGAAGCTGGAGCCTCCATCACCGAGCTCGACCCCTGGGCCAGACTTGTTGCTGGTGGCAACGGGGATCAGGATGGGCACAAAAGGATTTAGCAGCAGGAACCTCTCCAATCTCATCCATGAGAGAGGGGAGGAGCTGGCTGCCCTGTGCTGTGGGACTGGCACCTGGCCCGCAGCATTCACCCTGTCCCCAGGCGTGGGCACACGGTGCCACACGAGCTGGGCAGCATGAGAGGGATGCTGACGAAAAGATGGAGCAGGATCAGAGCCTGGCGACGCCAACGCCTGCCCTGCTGGCTCTGTGGGCTCCCTCTCCATCCAGGCCATCCCATTTCCCTGCACTCTGCCTCCCCACTTTGCTCCCAACTCCTGCGCAGCCAAAACCCTCGCGAGGTCTCTAGGAAAGCCGAGCTCGGGAGGATTTCTGGAGAATGTCCCCGGCCGGCAGCAGGCAGGCAGAGCCCGGGGCTGTGCTGGGAGGAACTGCCGAGCACGGCTTGGCCCTGGGCTCCTCCGTGTGCCCGCTCCAGGCGGGCACGGGGCTGCGCTGCCACATCCCACCGCCCTGCGAGCTCCGGCGGCGGGGGGCAGGCACGGAGGGAGGGATGGAGGCACCGAGGGAGGGAGGCACCGAGGGAGGGATGGAGCGGGAAGGGAGGGATGGAGGCACGGAAGGAGGGAGGGAGGCACCGAGGGAGGGATGGAGGCACGGAAGGAGGGAGGGAGGCACCGAGGGAGGGATGGAGGCACGGAAGGAGGGATGGAGGCACGGAGGGAGGGATGGAGCGGGAAGGGAGGGATGGAGCGATGCAGCCCGCACGCAGAGGCACACGCAGCACCGTCCACCCCGCCCGGGCAGCCCCGGGAGCGCCGGGGTCACCTTCGGCGGGAGCCCGCGGGCAGTTTGAGCCGAAAGCCAGCGGGGAAAGCATCAGCGGAGCGATGAGAGGCAGGAATGCGCCAAGCCATGGTGGCACCCGCAGCGCCTCCGCTCCGCGCCCCGCAGCCCCGCAGCGGGAGGCGGGAGCCCGCGGGCAGTTTGAGCCGAAAGCCAGCGGGGAAAGCATCAGCGGAGCGATGAGAGGCAGGAATGCGCCAAGCCATGGTGGCACCCGCAGCGCCTCCGCTCCGCAGCCCCGCAGCGGGAACGCGGGGGATGCGGGAGATGCGGGGGATGCGGGGACCCCCTCCCGCCTCACCTTCTGCGGGGGGCTGCCCACCGTCATCTCCACGTAGTACCCCTGCCCGGACTTGCCGCGCAGGTTGTCGATCATCTCCACGAAGCTGCCGGCGCTGTCGGGCTCGGCGTCCAGCGGCGCCCGGCGCTGCCGGAGCCCCGACGGCGGGGCCGCGCCGCCCCGCAGCGGCAGCCGGA